TTCTTCATTCACAAAGGAAAGAAGAATAAAGAAAAGTATCTTTCTGATAAAGGCATTCAGAATGACAAATGTCACCTGGTAATGTCTGTCCCACTGCCAGAATTACTAAGTTGGTGCAAAACTCCTTCTTATCCATAGTGAAACAAGCTCAAACTGTCTTTGTTACTACTACATACACACAATACCATTTAAAAGCTTACAAAAAAAACAGCTGAAAGCTGGATACTACCATCTCTGTAATCTAACACTAGGTTTAGGTGTCTCTGAATGATGCTGTAACTCTACCTTTTTAATAATGCTTAATAAACATGTAGCAACATCTATTATAAATGGTGAGTACCATATGCAGAGCTGGGTGGGGCCATTCTTTACAGCAACACACCATATGGTATCCCTATGAATGTGGCGCTGATAAAAGTAATCTATTGAGCTTCAATGACTTTCTCCACTGCAGTAGTATTAAATTACCTACCTTCCTCTCTCCCATTCATTTGCACTAGGAGTAAAGTTGATTCACCTATCTCCCACAGCAGCTTCCATGTTCTCTAGCTGCTTGTATCACCAGAATTTAATAGACTCTCTTACATTGTTCTATTTGAATTTGGTTAGCGGTGTATAGGCAAAGACAAGAGCAAAAAACATGAGTTTGGGGTTTAGAGAATTCACCCAAAGGGCTGGCTATTATGCCCTTCCCTCAGCTGCCCCAGGTATGAGGAGGCTACGCAATTTTTACTTGCCTAAAGATTCTTGGGTCAAAATGAATGTTTGTATTTCAACCACCATGGCATTTCTGCATTTCCTTTTGCTTCCGCAGAGCACCTGATTCCATTAAAGAAGACTGAGATCATTGCAAATGGACAAAGAAATAAACAAACAACCTCTCCACATATGATCTGTCAGAGGGCAGTGAACTTCCACTAAATTGGAGCTTATGTCTAAAAACAAACAAACAAACAAAATTTGTTTCACTGATAGTATCTCTAATAAAGTCCCCATTCCTGTCATTTGCTCCCTAGGTTGGTGTGGATCTGCATATGTTTCTTGGTGGCCATATGTCTGAATTACTGACTGGCTCCTCTCAGACCGGCTAACAGCCGCATTTTGCTATTCCTTCTGTAGAGGCCTTAAAATTAAGTTTCCTTTATAACTAGTGTTTGATCAGTAAAAACAAAACAAAACAAAATAACCCAAGAACCTAGCTGTACATCTGTCAGTTTTGGTCAAAATTTACCATGAATTTATGATGACTTGAAAGCTTGGAAGAGAATATGCTAGAAGACAAAAGCTATTGATCTCTTCTAAGACTTTGTGCTTTAGGAAAGCAGGCTAAAATATTTGTAGTAATAATACCCCAGTATATATTCCCCAAGTATGTACATTCTTTAATTTCCTCATCTAGCTTGCATAAAAAAAAAGTTACAGAAACAAAAAAAAAAGTTTCATTTTGATATATAAGCAAATAAAATAACTCTCTTGATAATAGCTTATTTATTTAAAGAAAAGAACTTACTAAGACCCTTCTAAACTATGAAAAAAAAACATAAAATTTTAGAAACGTCACAGCAGCCATATTGCTTAGATGTCAGACCTCTTTTTCCTGTCTCTTTCTTGTTTGCATGGGTAGTAATTTCTGGGCTGAGACAGTACCTCTTCTTTGTGCAGTATATAAGATCAATCACTAAACAACAAATGGTAGCAAAAACAACCAGCATGTGTTAGTAGAAGGTTATTCTGCAAATACAACATTGTCCTTTTGAGCAAGGCCATGAAAAGGGATGAGTGTTTGATATATGTGTCACTGATATATCATCATTCTTGCGGGTTTTCACTTCAGGACAAAAGAAAATTTTTCATATTTGTACAGTTTATTAATAGTCACCTGTCACAAAATTCTTATATTTTACTGTGCATTAAAGAAAGAATATTAATTAGACCATTTCTCAGAGATACAGTATCTTCGTAGCAAAACATCTTAATAAAGTATCTAAACAACACAAGGAGTTATCAGATCACACAAAAAGGCTGCTTGCTGAATCTGATGGCAATAGTTCCATTGACTTCCATGTCAAGGTATCACACCAACAGTAGTACAGCATGTAAGAGTATTGCTTTATATCTTAGAAAGCAAAAGAAAAGAGCAGACACTCAGGAGACAATTAAGATAAAATGATTCCCACCTTCTTTGCAACATAAACATGAAACGTGCAAGTACATAGAAGAGAGAACAAAATACACAGCAACCAGAAGCAGATGGTGAAGATGACTTTCTAAGTGTTTGTCTCAAGATTAAAGGACTTTGAAGGGTTTGAATTTTTGGTGGGAAAAGTCATACAACAAATAGTAGCAGAAATGCTGGAAATTATCTGACAAATATCTATAATGAGGAACCCTTTTGCTGAATAAGCAGTAGCCATAGAGGGAATTTTGGCCATTTAAATTCCCGCATGTGGATGTAAACTAAGTTTCACACTGGAAATGAAGACAGTGGATGTATTGGAAACAGAGAGGCCACTGTGAGGAAAAATAAAGTGCTGATACATAGCTGTTTTAGCTGGAGCACTGACAACAGAATTGTCCCTGGGAAGCTTGGCTGCTGCTTTTGCTATCTTTATTCAGGGCAAACAGGAACTGAGCATATTGTATATTCAGGATAACAGCTACACGGTCCATGTTGGATGAATGATGTGCTGCAGACACTGCCTTGATTCCTCTTTTCAGATGAGTAAAAGGAACAATGAGAGAAATGCTAAATGAGCCTTCTCAGTTAGTAGCTGCCTGCCTCATGGTCTGCTGACAGCACGCAGCACAACTGCTTGATTTACGCTAGTGGTGCTGCACTTTACTGGAAGAGCTCAAGTGCAGAATAAAAAGACACTGAAAACTGTTTGAGATGTTATGGATTACATTAGGGCATGCCATCTGGGACTTTCAGATTTTTTTTTTTTTAATGGAACTAGCCAGTGGAAGAAGAATTGAAAAGAATGGGAGTTTTATTTGTGATGGAGACAAACAAACAGGTTATGGCATTTATTATGGACTATTGCAGTCATGATGGTCACAGAAGTCCCTTCTCCTTCATGTCCCTTAAATCCTCAATGGATTGTTGCAAGAATAAACTCAAAGGGAATGTTCTGTCTTGCTTTCTCCAAGAATTTTTATTTTCATTTTGTCCACCTCCCTTAGTATAGATAGCACAGGTAAAAGAAAGCAGAAGAAATGTGTGTTGCTTTAAAAAAATGACAAAGAAGACACGTATAGCTGTTTGAAGGATTCTTGTGTATGTAGCTGACACAATTTATTAGGAAAGATGGGAATGTCTTTCCCTTAGAGCAGAGAAAGCTGAACAAGATACAGATAGGTCACTGAACTGCCTGCAGTCTTATTCAGATCTAACACAACACAGTGCCTGATATAAAAAGCCTGTACACAATCCATGCTGGAGTGGCAATCAAAATACTTCTTTAAAACAACAAAAACGCAAAGTTCATCCGTTTCTGGAATTTTGTCTGCCCCTCAAGGAAGTATTACAATTTAACTGTTCTGCTCAACACATTCAATGCTTCACTGCCACCCATTGCACTTCCTGCACATGACAAGAACTTGTTCCTTCTTGACAGCAATAGGCTTTGATCTTTCTCATTTGTGAGTTTCAGAGAAAAGGAAAACAGTTTTTCATGAGGAGAGTATCCAAGGCTCGTGGACCACCAAACTAGCACCCGATTAAAGCTAATGAAATGACCATCCAGAGCCAGTCCAGGTACAAAGCGGACCACTGGAATCCAAAGGTATATGAATATGACTCTACACAAGCCTTGCAGCATTTTGAAACACGTGAAAGAAAAATATCTTTTTTCGTATTTCATCTACTTTGACCTCATGTCTAGAATTCCCTCCCTTTTGTTTGGGATTGAACTAGACAGAGGAAGGAAGACTAACTTGGATGATAACCATATTACCATCAGCCTGGTGTTGTGATTCCTACCTGCTGCTTTTAAAATGGAGTTAGATGACATATGGTCAGCTAAAGAGCAAGCATGATGCAATAAATGAATAAATGAATTAAAAAATCTATAAAAGGGGGAAAGAAAAGCAAGAAGTTTTCAACTGGATCATAGTGCAGATTCAACTCACCAATCCATGTTAGTCTTAGACTGAGGGAAGAGGCAGGATGCACACTCAGATACTGGCACCTGAACAGGGACCACGGGAAAAATAGAGGAAGGGTCTTGGAACATCATGCCGAGTGGCGAGTGGAGACCGGGGGATTGACATGCGGTGGTGAGTGCATCAGCACGCCGGGATAAGGGGGTGCATCAGCACATTATCCGGGGCTAGCGACTAGAAAGGACTACCCCTCCACGAAGATTGCCTTAACCATGGATCGGGAGGTGGCAATGCAGCTGCTGGCACAGATGCTCGCTAAGCGAGAAGCAAGTGTCAGCACTAAGAAACTCCATGAATTGGTGAAGTGGGCTCGGGAAAAGGGCCATCTGACAGATCCTGCCTCCCTCTTTAGAGTAACAGAGTGGAGAGAGATCGGGGATTCCTTATGGGACTCCACATTAAGCGGTAGCAAAACAGCTAAGAAGCTGCGTACCACCTGGCAGGAGGTCACGAACAATTTGCGGCAAATGAAAGCGGAAAGGAAGATGGCCTTGGCGACCATGGAAATGCTGAGTTCGGGGCTGACGGATGAAGGCACCCGTGTCTTCGCGAGTGGTCCTGGCCCGACTCCAAAAGGGGTCACCGCAAGGATAAAGAAACCAGCCGCAGATATAGGCAATGAAGTGGGGTTTGATGTGGGTAATGAGGAGGACCTTTATCAAGGGGCATCGGCCACACCGGAGGAAGCCTCCTGACTTCCTCCAGGCAGAGCGTCCTCGTCACAGCGCGGTCCAAGTCCGGAAGCCCAGGAGAGTGACAGCGGGACTGAGGGGTCCGACGGGGAATCTGTGCGTGTGGCTCGAAGTGAGCCAAGGCCGAAAAAGTCCTCCGACAGAATGTTGCAAAAGGCTATGCGCAAGTTGCAGGAGCTCAGCTTGGGGGGTGAGGAAGTAGGGGATGTCACCGTCACCTCCAGCGAAGGGATCGCAGTTCGGCCGACAGGGAAACGGAGCCGGTGGTCCGGAGTTATCAGAGATGTTATATTGGAGGGACAGTGGGAAGCAGCGTCTGCAATTGCCTGCCCGGTACTGGTACATCCTAAACCGGACGGTACTAGCGAGGCTCGCTGGAAATCCTTTGATTGGAAAATGATGCACCAGCTCTGCAATACATTGTCTCAGTATGGGATAAATTCTGAGCCGGCAAGACAGATGTTGCAATTCGTGTTTAGTTCAGATCTCTTAACCCCTGCCAATTGTATGCAAGTCGCAAAATTGTTATTAACACCTGCCCAGTATATCCTGTGGGAACAGGAGTGGGAAAGACCAGCGAGGGTATGTGAAATCCCTAGAGCCCAGGAGGACCCCATGGATGGAGCACGTATGGAAATGATCTGTGGCAAGGGCCCGTTTTCTAACCAGATAGTCCAGCTCACCTACAATGTGCAGCTGCTCAA